TCTACGCCACTAAAATCTTATCCAAAACGTTTATGGCAATAAAAAACGTTGTTCCCATACAAGGCCTAAAAGACAATTTATGGAATATTTTCCAAAAATTAAAGACCACTTATGTAACATATCAGAATTGAAGACTGAATATGGAAAATCATATGTAATTACGGACCATTCATGGAAAAAACGTTAAAGCTTTAGAAAATATTTTATTAAAAAGGTAAACGTTATAAAGTCTTTTTTAAATGATCCTTTCACCTTGTTTAATTTTCTTCTTCTTACATAGTTACATTATCATATACTCACTAGATTGATAGATGCATTGGAGATGATGAGGCATGGGGTGAAACGGCTTCTGGTTCCAAAAGTTGTAGTCTGGAGAGGCATGAGCAAGCGGTTCTCCATTCTGTACAATGGCAGATGGCTCAAGAACATCCCCACCTCTCCAAACCCCAACCAACCATCTTCATCATCATCTTCGTCTTCGAACAGGTTCTGTTGCCTCTCGAGAGAAGACGTCATCCGTTTCGTCATCGGATGCCTCGGCGCGTTGGCCCCTCTCCCCCTCTCCTCCGTCTCCGCCCTCGGAGCCATCAACCCAAACTACCGCTCCCTCGACGCATCCCGTCCCGCAGTGGACGCCGCGACCCTAGCGGCCGCTCTGGACCCCTGCGCGGTTGCGGTCGTGGAGCCCACCGCGGACGGGCACAGCAAGATCGCCGGGGAGATCTCGGCGACCAAGCTTTGGAAATGCGATTACTCTGCCGCGTCGTGGGCCCTGGCGAACCTCTCCGCCGGACAGTTTGTTATGGGGGTCGAGGACGACAACGCAGCTTCTTCCCGGTCTCTCCCGGATTTTGCCTCCGCGAATCCCCCGGTTTTGGGGTCCACGAGTAGGATGAGGAAGTTCAGCAGCAGGAGCATTGGGTTCTTTGACGACAACAACATCAACAAGAACAGTAATCCCGCGGCGAGTTTAGGGGTTGCGAGAAGCATGTACCGGGGTAGGAGTGCGCCCTTGACGTGTAGGGCCACGAGCTCGCTGGCGGCGGTCATGGCGCAGATGTTGTCTCACCGCGCCACGCACGTGTGGGTGACCGAAGCCGAGAACGAAGAGAGACTGGTTGGGGTGATCGGGTACGCTGATGTCCTAGCTGCTGTCACCAGAGCTCCTCCGCCGACGGGTTTTATTACGGTAGTCCCGGAGAAACAGGCATTTTGAAGGCCAACTCTGTCCTAAATATATAGCCCTAAACTACACTTGTAGGACATTATGGGGTTGTTGTTATGGCCTTATGGGTTTGTGTTCTGTTTGGTTGGCTTGTTTCTCCTTCCTTCTGATGGACAAGACAGATTCTCTCTCATTGAAATGTTGTGCATAGTAAGTAAACTAGAGAATGTATAGAGTGCAATAGTTTCAAAACAATAAGGTTGCTCATATAGTTTATGAGGTAAATGGTAATACATTTTTTGTGTTTTTACAATTCTTCTTAATCCATTCTTCTGTTGTATATTAACATTATGTTTGGTTAAGAGAATTAGGAAGAAAAAGAAAAGAAAATGATTTTCTTCCATTTTCCTCGCAAAAAATGACTCGTTCTGAAGTCGGAATCAACTTTTTCAAAAATCTCATACAAAATGCACTCTTAATATCCATTTTTTTCTAAACGCAAAGGGTAAAAGTGAATGTCAAAACAAAAAACATAATTTTTTTTTATAAAAATGTTAGAATACATGAAAGAAAATGTTACCCTCTTTTGGTTTTAGTCAGATAAATATTCAGAAAGGAAGTTAAAATCCGAATCCTCATCAGATTCACACCTATTTCTTTCACCAGTGAATGAATCTTCATCTAAGCCTCCATGGATTTCCTTTTCCTTTCTGTACAAACCCCGGCTTCGATCCAAGAACCCTCGATCCATCATACCCGCCAGCTTCTCCCTCAAATCAACCAGAGGGTGCTTCTCAATGAGTCGCCCGCGATCATACGCCTCCCTGAGGACGACAGTTTGAGTGTCGCCCTTCTTCGAAATGTAAAAAATTCCCGGGTGCCTCTCAAAGATTTTGGTGAACTTCTGAGGCAAACCCAACGGTTTTCGGAGATTGCTCGTGTTTTTCCTCTCCGTCTTCTTGTGTAGCGTGAGGTGCAAAAGCTCGTGAAAGACTCCCACGTTTCTCTTCTCTGAAACATCCGTGCGGGGGTCCAAACACGAGGGATCTGCAAAGGGAGAAGTATACGGTAGCGACTGCCACTCCTCTAACCACTCCATGAACTTCCTTTTCAACCCAAAGCCCCTGGAGAATCCAATGGGGAAAGCCAATGCCCCGCCACTTTGCACGAGCGAACTCATTTGCAGATGGGAAACTGCTAAGCTATGATCCCAAGCTAAAAGCTTTAGCCCCACACGATCATCGGGCAGCCGAACTGAAGAAAACAAAGCTGAAGAGGTACCGGTAAAGATCTTCCCGTAGTCATTCGGCAGACCCATATCCCACATCAGCTGATCAAGTGTTTGTATAGGAAGCATTCTTTCCTTTGTAAGCATAAGAAGCTTCTTGAGCCTGTTAACAATGTCAGTTTGGCACTCTTTTCGTATCTCAATCTCTTCTTGGTGAACCTCTAAAGCAGGGGGAGTTAGTCTGTAGCAAGGAACTGGAGTTCCAGCAGAATCCCGGCGATAAAACTCCTCGAAGATGTTCGGGTATCGTCGGAGGAATGTGGAGAGCTTGAGGTCAAGGGGGAGGCCAAGCTGGCCCCGGTGGCGGCGGAGATGGTAAATGGGAAGCCAACCCAGCCGCTCTGAGCCGATGGCTGAAAGAAGAATCGATGCGGCTTTAAGCTCTCTGCCGCCGGTTACGGCGGCGTCTAGGGCGCTGTCTTTTGCCCATTTCACCTTTGCGTTAACTAGACTTCGCTTCTGGTGGTGTCTGAAAGCGGAAGTGTAGTTTTCTCCTGGTTTAGCTCTCTTCAGCATTTCATCGAACAAGATGCGCGCACTCTCTGATACTGAAGAATTATGTGGAGTCTGAGGTTGTTCCCAGATGTTGAAACAGCAGATATGTTTGCATTAATAGAAATTGGTGGGCAGCCCAGCCCTTGAAACATTGGGCCGGACATATTCAACGTTTTGGGCATCCTGTTATTGTTTTTTATCTAACTTTTTTAAAGATTGGATATGATATGTGATACTGTACTATAATTTAAAGTTAATGCTAGTCTGGTCTAATTGGATTCCAACAAGAATAGTAATAATGAGTAGAAAACACAGAAGTTGAAGAGAATGAGTTTAAAGAAATAATGAAGTCTTCTTTGACATATTGATGATGGTCCTCTTCGACAACAACGTTAGAATTTAACATTATCGTTGTAAAAAAATTGTCTAACGATAGTCTTTAACGTTAGCGATTTTAAAATTATTCTACACTATTAAAATTTTATTCAAAATGCTGACACTAATCAGAAATGTTGTGTCCATACAAAGCCCATATTTTTAGGGATGGACGAGATGAAAGTACACTTTTAGTCCTCAATTTAACAACATGACAGAATGTAAAAAAGGACTATCTGTTGAAAGATACTCATAAAAGGACTACAAACATAATATTCGATAATAGAAAATTAAATATGGAAAACTCATAAAAAATCAATTATAGAATTTACAATTTAAAAGTAAGAACTTTATTTGAGGAAATGAGTATATATATCTCACATTTACTCTACATTCAAAGTTGTGAAATATAAAAAAGACTTTTTCATATTTAGAACGGAAAAATAGACAATGTAATACATAATATTTTCTTTGTTTAGAAATTTGTTATTACTTTTTGAATAAGTTATTTGTCACTCATTCATAGTGATAACACACATATCGCGATGCAAAAGGGAGCAATAACTTTATATGTTTTGATAGGTTATGAATTTTAAAATAAATACCACATTATAATTGAGCAACCGGTATCAGAAAATGATAAACATACTTCCTCCGTCCCAGAAAGAATTTCCTACTTTGATTAACGTGCAAAATCCCGTAGATTTTAAAATGATTTTATTTGAAAATTGGTATTGAAATAACACATAAAAAAATTATATTTAAAAACTACATCGAAAACTCTACAAAATAAGAGGCGATAAGAATATTTTATTTTATCAAATTATTAATGAAAACACGCAAACAAATTGGAGTTATCGAGAGACTGTAATAGTAAACAAGAAAGACTTTTTGGGACGGAGGGAGTATTGCATTTCCTTTTTCCTCCATATGAGTTTTGTTATATATCGATATCCAAATCTTTTGTGGATATTTGATACGGATCAATAAAGTATAATCATTGTTAATTTGATATTGGTTGATATCACAATTCAAATTCAAATATAGCATTTTGAGTGGAAAACAAAAAATCACTGCTGGGATTCCAAAAAAATGCACCCACGAAAAAGATGATGTTGGGGAAAGAGATAGAGTAGAGAGAGATGATTTTTTTTTGTAAAATGCTAGGAGTACACCTTTCTAGGGGTACACCAAAGGTGTACCCCATTTGTCCCCCACCTCCTCCATTACCACAAAAATGGGCAAAAATTTTAAAAAAAATTAAATAAATAAAAAGTAGATAAAAATGAATGGTGGAGAAGGGGTGGGGGACAAATGGGGTACACATTTGGTGTACCCCTAGCATGGCTCTTTTTTTTTCATTGGTGAAAGTGCTCTAATAAAGGATGTTTTTTTATGTGTTAGTGCTCTTTGACTTATTGTTGATTGATTATTTTTAATTTATAAGCTGCTGATGGATACCCTAGACAGGGGGTATCCACTTTTTGTATAATATTAGTCGGGGCGATCCAGTTTGTTGGATCAACCCGCTAGTCGTTTATTAATTACTCCCTCCATCCCTCATAGATTTTCCCATTAACCCTTTTTATTTGTCCCACATAGATCTTCTCATTACTTTTTTTAACATTTAAAATACCACAACTACCCCCACTTACTTTATTTATTACACCTTTTCCACCTTATTTAATACACCCCACCCATTTTCATTAAGGGTATTTTGGTAAACTTTCACCTTTTTTCAACTCTCCTTAAAAACCGCAAAAAATCAAAACGAGAAGATCTTAGGGAGACAGAGAGAGTACTTATTTAGGGCGGTCCAGCCTGTTGGGCCGGCCCATTGATCTTTGTATGTAAACCCTAGCCCTAACTCTCCCCTTATATATACCCATCTTCTTGGAAGAGGGAGGGGGAGAGGGAGCTCATTCCATGCACGGATTTACGTTCTAAGAGGCACAATAATACACTCAATTTACTTGAAACCAAATTTGTACACTCCCGACTTAGTTCGATACTCTTCCGCCTAGTTTCCTAGGCCCTCTCGGTTCCCGAACCCAACATTTGATAGGGTCGAACACATCAAGCGTGCTCCAAAAACAAAAAAAAGGAGTGATTCTTCCAAATCTTCGTGGTGGGATTCGGTCACTGGTCTTGGATTCCCCACCCATCGCCGACCAGATCTGTCATTCGCACACGGAAGACCCCCGCCGGCTTGGACGGGCGCGCCTCGCCGTAGATCTTCTGAGGAGGTACCGGATTGAGTTCGCCAGCCATCGCCACCGCTAGGAAGGTCCAGATCTTCGAGCCACCACCCATCGCCGGCCAGATCTTGATTCCGCACATAGATCTTCGAGCCACCACCAAGCGCGGGCTTCGAAGCACGACGGGAGAGCCTCGCCATAGATCTGCTACAGATTCGCCTTTTGCTCTGGCCGGCAACGATCCACCGGCGTAGACCGTACGAACGCGACGACCAATGGGGTTCAACAACAGCAACTTCAGATTTGGTAACAGATTTGACGGCGGTCAAGGGCGTCGCTGTCCCTACGGTCGGCGATACCAGCTTCGCCGGCCAACAGTGCTCCCCCGACCAGTAGTGCTGCAATTACGATCCGACCCAGACATTGATCTTTCCACCAGCGACGGGTCAGCGGCTTTGGGTTTTACAACAGCCGTCCCTGCAATCCGCTCGCTGCTACGTTCATGTTCCGGCGACGCCTTCACTCCGACGAACGCGGCGGCGGCATGTCTCCGACGACAGATCTGCGACCGAGTGCTGCAACAGCAGACCGGTGCAGCCGACTGCGAGCGAGTCCGAATCCGGTAGCCTGACTCCGACACCTAGTCCAGGCCGGCAGCGACCCATTTCCATCCTTCTGGGGATACTCCTCTGTGTGCAGGCCTACCTTGTAGACGTCGGCGTGATTCAATTGTCAATTCGACAAGTGCACAGGCCCCTCGATGCGCAGGATTTCTTGACAGGACCATGCTACACACCCCACCCTTCCTACCTCCACCCACTTCTCTACCACATATTTATCTCTGTCTATTCTCCACCCACCCTCTAATTTTAATTTTCTTGCCTCTTTACCACATGTTTATGTAGTGGGCATGGGTGGTAGGAAGTGTGGGGTTTTTAGCATTTTCTTTTTTGATGAGCAAAGCTATTGCTTCTGTCAATCTGTCGGCTCTATAAGAAAAGAAAAGGAGCCTATTCTTTGAAATATCTTTTTATGATATGGTCCATTGATTATGGTGGTGTGTTGGGTGGACCCCACACGGAATTGGGCAAACCCGTGAAGCAAGTGTCTGCCTTTACATCTACATGGTAGATCTCAATTATGGACGGCACAGCAACAAAAAAGAGATAAGTCTCTTTACCCCTTAACCATCATTTCAACTATTCCATATTTATTACTCTCTCCGTCCATGTATTATCTTCTCATTACGCGTTACGAAGTTTGACCGACTTTATTTTCAATTGAATTTAATTGATTATAGAAGTAAAATTTTAAAATAAAATTTATATAGTAATAAACTACATGAAAAGTTCTACAAAACTAGAGGTGACAAGACTATATTATTTTATGAAATGACTAGTAAAATTGAGTAAATAAAGTGAGTAAAGTTTGACCCTGTGAATAGTGTCTGGGAAGATCTATGGTGGACAGAGGAAGTATTATTTTTTACCGTATTATCAATATGGTAATTCCTATCATTTACTTCGTTATTTTCACCATTACCTTGTCCATCACATGTGATCGGACCTCACTTGGACGATGGTATTATACTTTGTGTTCAACACTTTAAGGGGCTGTTTGTTTCAGCCTCTTAATGGTTCAGATATCTGAATGATTCAGCATTTAATGGTTCAGACTGTTTGTTTCAGCCTCTTAATGGTTCAGATGTCTGAATGGTTAAGAGATTTGCCTCTGAATGGTTAAGTATTATACAGAGTCTGAATGGTTAAGAGCTGTTATCTGAATTGATCAGACATTTGCCTCTGAATAGTTAAGCAATATACTAGCTCTTAATGGTTCAGACCTCTTACTGGTTCAGCATTTAATGATTCAGACCTCTTACTGGTTCAGCACTTACCCATTCAGAAGTTGCCAAACAGCCCCTAAGCCCTGATGTGGGACGGGTGCGAAGCTTAATCTCACACCCCACACAGGCCAGCGACCTGCCTCAGAGCATGGCTCAGATCCAACTCATTTAGTCATTCCTTAGCGAGGCCGGGTAAAACCTCTCTACGAGGTGTTGAAGATCGTCCGCGATGATATTATCGCGAGGCCGAGGTAAGCCGTCCACCGCGACGCACTCCCATCCGTCTTCCACGACGTGATCTCATTTCCTCTTCCACGAGGCCGAGGTAAGACACCCGCCGCGACGCACTCCCCTTCGTCTCCCATGACGCGATTTTGTTTCCTCTTCTACGAGGCTGAGGTAAGCCCTCCCCGCGAGGCACTCCAAATCATCCACGGCGATACTATTCGCGAGGCCGAGGTAAGCCGTCCATCTCGACGCACTCCTATATATCCGTCTTCCACGACGTGAACTATTTCCTCTCGGATCTAAGACGAGGGGTGCATCCTTTGTGCCTATCTCACTTACCCGAGCAGCTCTCATTTGAAGACCCCGGTCTCACTAAGGATGACATCAAGGTTTGTTCTAGACCAGACTACCACACGATCAGCGCACTTTGTTGATTATGCCTATCTTTTGTCCAAAACTTTGGACTCAACTCATATGTTGACTTACTTTTCTCAGCTGCGTGGTGACCGGTCTGCCCGAGCCCGCGAGCGCCTTGTATTCTTTTTTGAACTTATTTTGCAGGTTAGAAGGATGAGAAAGCCGAGATCGGCCTCGGCCACCTCACGAGGCACACATGCCCCCACCTCGTGAGGCACTCAAGCTTGGCCTCAGCTACTCAAGCTCGGCCCAGCCACTCAAGCTCGGCCTCAGCCACTCAAGCTCGGCCTCAGGCACTCAAGCTCGGCCTCAGCCGCTCAAGCTCGGCCTCGTGGAGTGGGTCACTGCAGCCCAAATCATCCCAACCTTGTATCAGACCGCAGCAATCCGGTTCGACATGCACTCGTCGGCAATCCATTATGTCGAACAGCCCTCGACTCCGGACAACGAGTCTGGGGGACTCGAAGATCACATATTCTGAGATTCACAGAGAAGACCTCGCACCCTATCAATGTTTTCTTGTTCCACTCTGTGGGACGAGATGTACTCTTTTCTTGACCGATGATTTTTTCCCATTCTCATGGGTTTTTTCCTCGGCAAGTTTTAAATGAGGCATCCCTCGTGGAGTGGGTCACACATTGACGGGATTGTGGGAGGATGTTCGAAGACGACAAACGGACTGTAGATGACGACTGATTCATCCACTCTTATGATGATTTTACACTCTGGACAACAAGGAAGACGATGTCCTTCCGTGGTGGATCTTTGTTCTACTCCCACTTCACCTCGAGTTCCTCTCGGCTCGGGAAGTGGGGGACTCGTGATAGATACCCTGAACAGGGGGTATCCGGTCTTTGTATAATATTAGTCGGGGCGGTCCAGTTTGTTGGATAAGCTCGTTAGTCGTTTATTAATTACTTATTTAGGGCGGCCCAGCCTGTTGGGCCGGCCCATTAGTCTTTGTATGTAAACCCTAGCCCTAACTCTCCCCTTATATATATACCCCTCTTCTTGGAAGAGGGAGGGAGAGAGGAAGCTCATTCCACGTTCCGACTTACGTTCTGACTAGCACAATAATACTATCAGTATACTTGACCTCATATTTTGTGCACTCTCGACTTAGTTCGATACTCTTCCGCCTAGTTTCCTAGGCCCCCGAATTCCTTAACCCCAATTGCTGCTTATAAGTTAAATATTTTTTCATGGAAGTAAAATGACTTAAGTGATACATAAGTCATTTGTAAATGGTGAGAGATAATTTTATAAATAATTTGATTGAAATAGAGAAACAATAAAATGAGTTAAAAATAAGTAGTTAAGATTTACTCCCTCCGTCACACTGTCTTTGTCCACTTACCTTTTGGCACACCATCCAATGCACTTTTTTAATCCATTTTATTTTGTAATTTGTATATTAAAAAATTATAAAAATTATATATTAATAATCTATATGTTAAGATGAATTAAACAAGATTACACATGACTATTTTTAGGCTTACACATTGAGAAAATTTGATGAGTCAAAGTGCTTAAATGAACAATTAAAAAAGTCAAAACTGGACAAAAACAATGAAACGGAGGTAGTATTGTTTTTTTGACTTATAAGTAATTAACAGATACACATAAACATATCATCAGCTCATCTAAAATTAGAAACAGCGTCACAAAATAGCTAATAAAGCAACCAAGTACTACTCTATTCTCCAAAAGGTGAAATCGCTCACCCCAGGCGCCCCTCACCCCCGATCCGACGAGAATGTGAGAGGAGGTAAATCACGGTGACCCAAACACAATACTTAGCTAGACCATATCCTAGTGCGCACCAGAGACTCCCCCCATTTTTCAGAGGTGGTCGCCTCTACAACGGTCGCTGCCAGGTTTCGATCCTTGGTCATTCTCCAAACTTCACCAAGTGTTTGCCACTTGGACACAATACTTAGCTAGACCATATCCTAGTGCGCACCAGAGACTCCCCCCCATTTTTCAGAGGTGGTCGCCTCTACAACGGTCGCTGCCAGGTTTCGATCCTTGGTCATTCTCCAAACTTCACCAAGTGTTTGCCACTTGGGCTACCCGTGCGGGTTAAACTGTGGTAGGGTAAACTTTTTATAGTGACTAGCCCCACCGCTTTCGCGGCCCCATACCCCAGAAACCCAATTTTGGCTTGGCCCTACGGGTTAGTATACACCGCTTGGCCCTACCACTTGAAGGGTTTTTTTGGGGAGGCATAGTTCCACTGGCGCAGAGTGGGACTCGAACTCGAGACCTCTCCTCTGGAAGGGTAACTCCACAACCAGCTGAGCTGAGTTGCTTCGTTAAACTGTGGTAGGGTAAACTTTTTATAGTGACTAGCCCCACCGCTTTCGCGGCCCCATACCCCAGAAACCCAACTTTGGCTTGGCCCTACGGGTTAGTATACACCGCTTGGCCCTACCACTTGAAGGGTTTTTTGGGAAGGCATAGTTCCACTAGCGCAGAGTGGGACTCGAGCACGAGACCTCTCCTTTGGAAGGGTAACTCAACAACCAGCTGAGCTGAGTTGCTTCGTTAAACTGTGGTAGGGTAAACTTTTTGTAGTGACTAGCCCCACCGCTTTCGCGGCCCCATATCCCAGCAACCCAACTTTGGCTTGGCTCTACGGGTTAGTATACACCACTTGGTCCTACCACTTGAAGGGTTTTTTGGGGAGGCATAGTTCCACTGGCGCAGAGTGGGACTCGAACTCGAGACCTCTCTTTTGGAAGGGTAACTCCACAACCAGATGAGCTGAGTTGCTTCGTTAATTACTCCATGACTCTCGATCAGGTGGTCAAAATAATAATGTGGGAAAAAGTCATTTTAGGGCAGTTTGAAATGGGACAAGGACAATGCCAGTTCATCCATTTTTAGAAAATGGCTAATCACACCTTTGACTAACTAAGAATATAACATCAAAAGCCTATAGAGAGGGAGGGAGATGTATATAAAGCGAGAAAGACAGTTTGAAAATTGCGAAGAAATTCCAGTCCAAACTCCAACACAAAATCACAAATCACGCAACTTCCCACCGCTCGGATTCCCACGCGTTCCTCCAAATCCATAAACCCGTCTTCTCCAGGCGTTTTCCACAGGATAGTTAACAAGAGGAATTAACCTCCGGTTGTGTCTGTATATACATTGATATGCTGTTTGCAGTTGATTCCATTCGTCGTGGAAGTTCCAGGAGATCTGCGATGGCGGATCTGAGGTTTTTGGCGGTGCTGGTTCTGTGGGCCGCTTTTGCCGAGTCGAATGACAATTTCGTGTTCCAGGTAAAGCACAAGTACGGCCGGCGGGGGAGCTCCGTCTTGAGAGAGCTGAGGGCCCACGATTCCGCGCGCCACCGCCGGATGCTGGCTGCCTTTGACTTCGAATTGGGCGGAAATGGCCTACCCACCGATGCTGCGTAAGCCTCCCCCTCCCCTGTCTATCACAATTAGTTTTTGTATTCGATAAAGTATTTGGTTAGTATATGAATCTTGCTGGCTGATGTGAGTAGTTTGAGCTGCTTTGTTTGATTTTGATCTCTAGATCCAATCCAGATTCACTTTTCTTTCTGAAAAAAAGAAAAAACTAACTGCTGACTTATGGTGGAAGTTGGCAAGTTGCTTTTGTCTACTATGCCTTCAACCATGGGGAAACACACAAGCACAGTTAGGTCCCTTCAAACCCATTGGCAATAGAGAGTAGTCACTAAACGTAAATATTGGTCCTCCTGCTTTTAAGACCAATGTAGGACACCAACCCTTGTGCGCAACTTCAGGAATCTCCACTCCCATGATCGAGTTTCTGAAGCAGCATCACCCCACCTCCTCCCCACACGCAGAGCTCTTCCAATGGAGAGAGAGTTTTTCTACTTGTGAGAATTTTTCGTGATGAAAAGTATCCCATTGGAGAGGTTTTAATATTTTCCACGCGAGAGGTTATTTTGTCACTCTATGCATAGAAAATTTTCCATCGTTGGGATGAGAGAGAAAGTGCTTTCTCACCCTTGGGAAAAAATTATTACACAAAAACTGATGATGTGGATGGAAGGAAAAGTCTAGAGAGAGATTGGTGATGAATATTTTTCTCACTATTGGGAGTGCTCTTGGTGGAACTTCGAAACAATGCTTCAACTAACATTAGAATCACACTACAATCGTGCATCTCATCAAATCCACCGAAATGCGCATGAGCCAAAAGTTTTATCCCTAAAAAGAAAGTGTGAAAACATATGTTGACTTGTGATTGTGAAAGGGATTATAAAAGGGTAAGTATGTCATTTAGTTAACATCTATGCATTTGCACAATTTTCACTAAAACTTTTTCAACCTATGTTTGGCCAATTTTTTCTCTTTCCCCTCCATTTTCTATCAAAACCAAACAAAAACCAATCAGGAGAAATTTCCTTACAAAGTGTATTTTTCTCCCCCTACATTTTGTCTCTCTTCCAATTCTCTCAATCCAGACATCCCTGTAGAGCTAGTTAGCTCATAACCACGTATACTTGCTCACCAAGTATAATTGCTCACCGCTTTCACTTGGTCACCATGCGAATACCACTATAAATGAATGGTTAAATTTATTGCATGCATTGTCTATTTACTTTAATCAAGTTTACTTTATCAACATGCCACAACCGGCTATTCCACATTAATACAATGTCTCTCACACAAGGTGACCGTTGTGGGCAGGTAATGGGTAGTGTTTGACATGTTTCAACGCCGAGAGTGAGAGCTTTCTTTTCCTTTTAGTCCAAGATTTCTTTAAGGCAGTCTAGAGAAGTCACCCAAGGGGTGACACTCATTTTCCAATTGAGAAAAGATCTGATAGATGCGCATAAGGAGTCGCAGAAATGGAAGAAAGTGGCGTCACACGCTACCAACACTTTCTGGTCAACCGTGGTGCTGACCGTTCTTGTGTTTGCTTCATTCTCTCCTTTCTCAAACAGTTGTGCCTAGTAGAGGAGCACTCTTGGGCTATGGATTCGGCACTCTAGTTTTGCTTTTTCTCTTATCATTCATCATTTCCGCATTTCACACCTTGAATGCTACAAAAAAGAGAAGTCAAATGCTGATTTCCCACCAAAAAAAGGTTTTTAGGAACGTAGAGGTAGAGATTGCGCAAGCCATGGGCTAAAGAGAGGAGGAAGATACTTAATGCGGTCTTCAAAGCCTACGAGGAGAATAAATTTTCATTTTAGGGATAAATTGTTGTTTTGTTTGATCTTCATTTAAGCCTCTTGGATGATCTCCAAACCTTGAACATATCTACCATTTGTAGAACTCGGAACAACCTCAAATACATTTTTCTTCTGTATCATAGGGTGTGCACATCTTGTTCGATGAAATGATGAAGAGAGCTAAACATTGAGAAACATACACTTTTGCTTTCAAACACCATCAGAAACAAAGTCTAATGCAAAGCTAAAATGGGCAAAAGACAATGCCCTAAACGCCGCCGTAACCGGCGCCGCATGACTTAAAGCTGCATCAATTCTTCTTTCATACATTGGCTCAAAACGGCTGGGTTTGCTTCCCATTTATCATCTCCATCGCCATCGAGGCTAGCTTGGCCTCCTTCTTGATCTAAAACCTTTCACATTCCTTCGACGATACACAAATATTTTTGAGGAGTTTTATCGTCGAGGTTCTGCAAGAACTCTAGTTCCTTGCCACAAACTAACTTCTCATGCTTTAGAGGTTCACCAAGAAGAAATTAAAGCTACGTAAAGATAGTTAATAGACTCAAGAAGCTTTTTATGCTTACCAAGGAAAGAATGCTCCCTATGCAAACACTTGATCAACTCATGTGGGATATGGGTTTGCTGAATGATTACAGAAAATTGTTTACCGGTTACTCTTTGACTTTGTTTTCTTTACTTCTTCTCCATGATGATCTTGTAGGGTTAAAATTTTTAGTTTGGGTTCATAGCTTAGCAGTTTCCCATTTGCAAATGAACTCATTTGTGCAAAATTGAGTTTTTTTTGGCTTTTCCCATTGGATTCCCAAGGGGCTTTGTGTTGAAAAGGAAGTTCATGGAGTGGTAGTGGCTACCTTATACTTCTCTCTTTGTAGATACCTCACATTTGGATCCCCGCACAGATGTTTCAGATAAAAGAAATGTGGGAGTCTCTCACAAGCTTTTGCACCTTACTTCTACACAAGAAGACGAAGAGGAAAAATACGAGCAATCCTCAAAAATCATTGGGATTGCCTCAAAAACTCACCAAAATATTTGAGAGGCATCCAGGGATTTTTTACATTTCTAAGAAGGGTGACACTCAAACTGTTGTCCAGGCATATGATCATAGTCAACTCATTGAGATGCACCCTCTCGATGATCTGAGAGATAAGCTGGCAAGTATGATGGATCAAGGGTTTTGGATTGAAGTAGGGGTTTATGCAAAAAGAAAAAGGAAAATGACATATGCTTAAATGACAATTCATCGTTGTTTACTGTGGTTTTGGGATAAAGCAAAAATACAGGAGGCTTAAATAAGGTTCAAGCTAAAAGATAATATTATCCCTAAAAAGAAAATTTATTCTCATCGTAGTCTTTAAAGATCACATCAAATATCTTCCTCCACTATGCAAAATCTCTACCTCTGCATTCCTAAAGACCTTATTTTTGCTGGAAATTAATCTTTGATTCTTTTTAGCAGCAGTCAAGGTGTGAACGCTGTTGAAAGCGGCAAAGATGAATGATAATAGAAAAAGAAACACCAAAGCGTCGAATCCCTAGCCCAAGAGTGCTCCTTTTCAGGCACGACTCTTTGAGAAAGAAGAGAACGAGGCGAACACAAGAACGACTAGCGCTACGTTGACCGGAAAGTGTTGTTGACTTTTGGCACCGCCTTTTTGCACTAATGTGGCTCCTTATCCACATATGTAAGATCTTTTTTGTAATTCGAATATGAGCTCCACCCATTTGGATAACCTCTCCCAACTGCCTAAAGGAGGTGGTGGGCTAAGAGGAAGAGAAAGCTCTCGCTCCTGGCGTCGGAACATGTCAAGCACCCACCATTACCCGCCCACAATGGTCACCTCGTGTGAGAGACATGACGTTAATGTGGAATAGATGGTTGTGGCATGACGACGAAGTAAATTTAATTGAAGTAAATAGACAACGCGTGAAGTAAATTTCCATCATCTCCGATGGAGCCAAAATTTCACCATTTTTTGGCTTTGGGGTGTGATGGAATAAATCAAAATGGATCTCTAAACTGTCTGCGCTTCTTTAATTAATGAAGTAGCAGTTAGTCAAGCAATGCAACTTTCGACGTTGAGCCGGGGGTCTCTTTGGAAACAGCCTCTCTACATTCGAGTAGGGGCAAGGTCTGCGTACACACACCCTCCCCAGACCCTACTCTTGTGGGATTTAACTGGGTTGTTGTTGTTGTTGTTGTAGACAACGCGTGCAGTAGATTTAATCATTGTGTACATTTATACTAGTTGTGGCATGTTGACCAAGTGAAAGTGGTGAGCAAGTATACTTGGTGAGGAGCTAACCAGCTCTACAGGCTGTTTGGTTTGAGAGAATTAGGAGAGGGAAAATGTAGGGAGAGAAAGCACACTTTTTAAGGAAATTTCTCATGTTTGGTTCAAGTAGAAAATGAAGGGGAGGAGAAAATTAGCTAGGATTAGACCAAAAAGGTTTTCACTCCTCCACATGCATGAAAATAGTTCAAATGGAGAAATTTTAACTTAATGATAGATTTGCTCTTTTATTATCATTTCAGAATCACAAGTCAACGTATGTTTTTGAGCATTAGCATGTCAGCTACTTTCTCCTCCAGCTTCTTTTGGAATTGATGCTTGTGTACGAATTAGAAATTCTTATTTTGGGTTATATATGCTTCAAATGATTGCAGGCTATACTACACTAAGCTTGCAATTGGTACTCCTTCAAAGGATTATTATGTTCAAGTTGATACTGGCAGTGACATTTTTTGGGTAAATTGTGTTGACTGTAACACGTGTCCTAAAAAGAGTGACATTGGGGTGCGTACTTCATTCCTTTTGTTTTTTTTTGTTTCCAAATGACTTATATCACTTGTTTCCCCCCTTCATAACAGTGTTACAATCTATTTCTCATATAACAGATTGATTTGGCGCTTTATGACATAAAAACCTCTTCCACAGCAAAGGAGGTTACTTGTGACCATCATTTTTGCACCAAGATGTTCAATGCTCCATATGCCGATTGTAAGGTTGGAATGCGTTGTGAATATCAGGTTTCTTATGGGGACGGGAGCAAAACTGCAGGATACTTTGTCCAAGATAATGTTCACTTTCATCAGGTGTCAGGAAGCCTTCAAACAAAATTGCTGAATGGGACCATAACATTTGGGTAAGTTTGAGAGGCAAAGCCTTTAACCCGTATTTTTTCATTTCTAATTTGTGACACTTGAAAAAAAAACTTGTTTGAGAAAAATCCAAGTGACATATATTGACATTATCGATTTCATTCCTCTGGATAACAACCTAATCTTCAAATTATATAAGTCCATTTACCATGAAAGTGTAATTGGTTGGCTGTCTTGCTGTTCTTTTAATGAAGGAAAGAGGGATTACTTTACATTGTCGTACTCTTAGGGCATGTTTTATAGTAAAGGGTTGGGAGTGCGGCTCCCCTTTGATTCGGAAGGAAGGAAAACGGGTGCGGGGTGGGTGAGGAAGAAGAAAATTAAGCTCCACTTCCCTCATAATTTAAAAAACGAGTCCCTTTCCATCCACTCCCATCAAACCAGGCACATCCCTTAGCAAATCATTCTCAAATGATAATGCTACTTGTATCATCTCACATGTTTTTTTCATTAACTCATAATGAGGATTGGCAAATTCATTGGCAGCCAATGAAAATAAAGGAAATTGGCCCTCAATACTCCATACCATTGTATCTTTTCAAGAACACTAGTTTTTACAACGCAAAGAGCTGCTTTGAAGAAGATGCATACTTCCAAGAGAGAATGACACAGTTTAGCATTTACTGTAATAGCTAATTGAGTTTGTATCTTTTGTAAGACATTATTTTGTGGAAAAAGTATCTTATGGAGCACACACTATATGTATGTCCCAGTGTGTGTGACCTTACAGATATTTAAGAGTTATGAGCCACTCAATGTTTTAAATCAAAGATAGGTGTTCAGGACAACCAACTGGAGAGTTAGGTACATCCACTGAAGCAGTTGATGGGATAATTGGTTTTGGACAAGCAAATACATCCCTTGTTTCACAGCTAGCTGCATCTGGAATGGCGAAAAAGATATTTTCACATTGCTTAGATGGTAAAAATGGAGGTGGCATATTTGCTATTGGGCAAGTAGTTCGTCCTAAAGTGAAGTCAACACCACTAGTCCCAGATGAGTAAGTAATGCTATTATATATTGTTCTAAAGTTTGTATCACCATGTGCTTTTATATGGTCAGCTACTTTGGTGACACTTTTTTTCCTTGACTTGGTTACCATATTGATATGTTGATAACAATTCCCCTTATTTATTTTTAAATTTTTGTGGCGAGGGCTGTTTGTAGGAGTTATTTATTAGCACTTAGTTTTAGATGTGCTGCATGTGCAACACAACTTGGAGCGAATATGATGGTTCCACTATCTTGTTGGTTTTCAATTTATAGTCTCTGTTTTGCGTTTTAAATTGATGCATGGACTTTCTTAATCATAGTTTGTTAAAATGTTAGGCCGCATTATAATGTAATTATGAAGGCAATTGAGGTGGATGGAGATCCTCTAGATATTCCCACAGATAGCTTTGACATAGGATCTTCCAGAGGGACGATAGTCGACAGTGGTACAACCTTGGCATATCTTCCAAGCACGATCTACGACTCTCTCAAGAGCAAGGTATATTGGATACTTTATAAATGCAACTATACCTCATTTTGTTATGGATTCTTCTTCTTCAAAACTTCTATCTCAGAATTGTGTTATCATTTTTATTTACCGTCCGACAGTTATGCTTCATTAGCTAAGGAAATGAGTTTGTGGTTCATATTATTTTTCCCTTCTGCATACTCCTCAACCACATGCTTTCACTTTCTTCATTCGCGTGCCCAGTCAAAGTGTGTAATAATAATGGAACGGAGGGTGTAGTAATTATAGAAATATAGAAACTCTAGCTTTAGTAGTATTATTGTAGTTCACTATTCTCATTAGGTTAGGATTTAGGTTTTCTGTTCCTATTGGATTTAGGCCCTTTTTTTCTCTATGAAAGAATTGCAAGTGTTCAGAAATTATGAAGTTCTAAGTAGAAAACAATGTTCATAATTTTTTTTATTTTTTATAAATCACACTTCATATTGTTCTTTGTCAACCTTTAATGCCTTCATGTTATATGACTACAGATGATGGCAAAACATAGTAGCCTGAAGATGCATACAGTTGAGGAGTTGTTCCAATGCTTTTACTACTACGAAAAGTGAGATTTAATTCCATGCTTTGTAACATTTTGTTTTTCCTTGTCTAATTTTGGCGCTTATGTGTTATTTTCTTCATTTATTTGTTTTACTTCGTGATGCTTTACCTTCCTTATATAGCTTATGCTTGTTTAAACTTTTGAAATTATGACAAGTATTTGGTAAATTGGCAATTGATGTAGAGATGCTGATTTAGGCATTTAGCTAGTGGTGATCTTATACCTTTATAACATGCTCGTTTCTTGGACTGATGCAGCATTGATGATGGATTTCCAGATGTCTCTTTTATTTTTCAGAATTCTCTTCATTTGACCGTTCACCCCCGTGATTATCTTTTCGAAGTTAAGGTAAGCAATCTAAGGCTCCATCAAAGAGCTTATAGTCTTTATTTGTGGCTATACAAGTTATATGAGCAACATATTTGGTGAAATAAATGTCATTTTAAAAGAAGGGCTTTAGTTATCCTTGTGGCTTCTCTTATATGGATATTGTATGAGTTTTAATTTGGTTCTACCACTAACCCTATTATTTTTACGAAAATGATTTTATTGGGTTTAATAAATTTCACCCCAACTTTTCTTTCCTTACAAATTCCCCCTCTATTTTTCTTCCTATTTTCTTTCCATATCAGTTTATGCATTCCAAATAATGAGAGTAATAAACAGAGATGCAGTTTCCATTAGACCATTTATGCATTGCTGCATAAAACTTATAGAAAGTACTAGGAAGCAAGACAAGTTTAATGCATCTTAGGATCACTCCAAACGCCATCAACAATACTTGTTTCTTAAGTTCTCTTTCCTCATTAATTGCCTGAATGTATGCAGGATAATGAATGGTGCATTGGCTGGCAAAACAGCGGATTGCAATCAAGAGATGGGGCAGAAATAACGTTGTTGGGAGGTATTTCTATGATCACCCTCTTATTATTATTATTGTTATTGTTTTATTTTTAGTGCAATTTTGTTGTTGTGAATAGATATTCTGAGTTCCAATAACTCTATTACAATGTAGCCTGTTCATTGATTTCAACTTATCGAAGCATAGAGAGTTACTGCCTTCACTGGGGTTTGAACTCATGATCTCCCATTTGGGAGAGCCACACTCATGCCGCTGGACCACTGGGAGTTAGTGATAATAATAATAATAATAATAATAATAATAATATTATTATTATTATAACACCGTCACAAATTGTTCATCCCGTTTCATTTAAAAGTCAAAAGGAGCTACTCCTGCTCCATCAAATTATTTACTTTCCTATTTCGAACATCCCATAAATTTCTTTTGCACTTTATTCCCTATTTTGGTAATGAATATGTGACCACCAACAATTCTCTCTTCTCTAAATAAATTCTATCCACACACTTTACTTTTCAACAACTTTCTTAAACTCCGTGAAATTAAAGTGTCACCGGTTTTATGGGATGAAGAGAGTATCTTTTATCATCAATTAAGGAGTGGAGTAAATAATAACTGCATTGTATATTAAGGGCAAGGTTCTTTTGAGTTTTGACACCCACCTTGGGTGTCATAATATGGCACCTAGCCTTTTATAGATTACACTTTCCCCTGCCATATTACACTTTCTCCACATATATGCAGACATTGTACTATCTGGCAAGCTTGTTGTTTATGATATTGAAAACCAGACCATTGGGTGGACTGAACATAACTGTGAGTATATAAACATTCTTTTTGTCGAATCATTTTATGGAGCCCGACCGGATTCATTCCCTTATTGAGTCAGGCTGCATATTTGACATCATCATTGTGGGGCCTACTCACTATGAAAACGATAGCCTCCCCGGCCCCACAACGACACCATGCGTTTACACAGGGTTCCCTTTTTTCGATTTCAGGCTCTTCGAGCATCACAGTGAGAGACGAAAGGTCGGGGAAGGTGTATTCGGTGGGTGCTCATGATATTTCGTCGGCCTATGCCAATGGGGGGATTGAGAATCTTTTAATGTTGTTAATATTCACCATTCTTTGGAACAGTTTGATTTGATTTTTCATGATATATGTGATTTGAATGTGACAAACCTCATTATATATATATATGTATGTATGTATATATATATGTTGTAGTACTTTGGAAATTCTTTACAATGGATTTCATTCTTTGTGCATTGTGTCTTTGGCCTTGTTCTCTTATCCAGGGAAATGCTAAGTAAAACCAGCAAACTTCCGTCAATTCTACCGTTAGGGTGGAAGGTTCACATAATCTATATACTTTTCTTATTGCATCGTTCCTTCACATCATTGCCAAGTTATATTCCACAATTTTCACTTTCTTGCTACATACACCGGATTGCTAACTTACCGCAACTATTTTCAAATAATTAACTATACTAATAATATGAACTAATTTGAAAATCATTTTTAATTTATTAGCTTTAACTAATATTTCCTAAAAAATATTCTCTAATGTAAATTTAATTCACTTTTTTTAAATAAAATTAATTTTAAAAGATTAAAATAATCTAAAGTGTAAATATTTAATCAGCACCTTAATATTTCATTGATTTAAATGAACTACAATCTTTTAATATTACAAAGGTAGGAGGGAAAGATGAATAGTACAGTCGCCCAACTTAATTGGATATGATTTTGGGTATAGTTCGACCAAATTAGATATGAATAACTTAAATTAGTACTCTATGAGAATTGTGACTTAAATAAATGTTTTATAAAAAACTGTTAAAGTTTATGAGAAACAGTAAAAATTTATGATAAAATGTAACTTAAATAAATATTTTATGAAAAAAAGTAAAAATTTATGAAAAAAGTAGAAGTTTATGAAAAAATGTGACTTAGGGAGTAAATAAATATTTTATGGAAAAATATAAATTTTATTAAAAAAATAAAGTTTCAAATTTGGTGAAGTGTAAGAGACAACAAACTAACCCTACGGCAGAGACCATCACACCTTCCTTATCCAAGGGAAATGGCGGGATCTTAAAGATGAACCTCCCCCCCTCTCTCTCTGCTCAAGCCCTGCAAATCCCCTGCTTCTTCTTCCATAGCCATGGCTGCTCTAACTCCCACTCGAAGCTTTTCTCATCAATCCCCGCTACTCCCGCAGCCGCTCATCGTCCTCCAAGAAGCAGATCTTCGATCCGAGGTGATTTCTGTTCGTTTCTCTTTACTTCTCTGAATCGCAATTTTCCACGCCAGGTCTTTTCTTCTTCTTCTTCTTTTCTGTATTTATTTCTCGTCTGTAACAAATGGGAATTTGAAATTCCAGTAGTAGCAGCAGCAAGAGGGGAGGCTTTCATTTTAGTTGAATGGTGTGTATGGGTCCGTCTGGAAAACTGTTTTCCACTCCATTTTCTTTTCTTTTCCCTTTCAAATTCCTTGAACCAAACATAGTGTTAGACTTCGGATATCGAAGGACAGACGAATTTGTTTACAACACGTTACCCTTATTAATCACTTTGTTTCATCTTTTCGGTGTGGTCCAGGTGCATTATCGTTATGATACGATTGATTGTCACAACACAATGGTTTCTATAGAATCCAACATTTGAACTCCCAGGAAAGCTCATTAGAATCTTAATTCTTCCGAAATGTCGACCTGATTGGAGTCCAAGATGTGAAGATATTTAAGTAAATCTTATTGAGGATGTAGTCCCACATCGTACACCTAGGCTAACAAAGGGTAACAAAAATAAGAGTATGAGTTACTCCTCCCAATTGATTTTGGGTTGGAAGCTCATAATTCTAGAAATTATAATTGAAATATCTGGTGTGAAAATTTTCTTGTAAAATCTTCGAGGATTAAGTTTACCACTGCCCTGCATTGTTACGATACACGCGAGAAAGTATCTAGGGACCACTTAGGTGGGGATTTTCTCGAAGTGCTTCACAGACATGTCTGGGGTGTCCATAGTCCGAAACTTTTGGTCTCTGGGCTTCAAGCCTTCAATGTTGTTTCGTATTAGGGCTCTAATTATTTAATGGACCGGTTGGATCTATCAAACAATTAATAATGTTTTAACAACTTTTTCATGTTTGATACAATCATGTCAAATGAATTGCAGTTGCAGACGACTTAGAAAGATCTAATTATAAGTGTGCTACTGCTTATGATGAGGGCGAGAGTGAAAGATCTGAAACTGACAAGCTGGTTGATGGTATGGATTTCGGAGAACTTTGCAATGAGTTTGAATGCTTTAGCAGTCCTTCCGTTGAAGCTACTGCAAGGCTTCTTGTTCGAGACATATTGGAGCTTCGTGACGATAGCCGCTCTTTTGCCACATATGCCATTTCGGTCCAATATAAGGTACATCTTCCCATTTATTTTTATGTCTCATATAGTGATTATCGCCTTAATTATAACTGGAGTTTGAAAACTGGATTCTGGAAACTAATAACTGGAATTTGGTTTTGATATCTGGAATAAAAAATTGAAAAGAACGGAGCCTTAATCTATCACAAAACACATCCGTACACCACATTTTTTCCCCTCAAACTATGGGTCTATTCTTTTCTACTGTATTTTATTGAGCAAAACTGAACTCAAAAGTGCTGAACTGAACTTGAACTAAAAATTTTCGGTTGAAAAGAACAACCTTAAACAATTCAAGATCAAGGTAATGATGTTATTTTTGCCAACCACTAATTCTTCATATCCTTAGCTACACAACAAATTGCAGGATCCAGTCCGGAATATCACTGGTCGAGAAAAGTACAAGAGGCCCCTATGGGTAAAAGATGCCATGGAAAATCCCACATCTGTAAGTTCTGCACATTATAGAAGCCCCTTTTGTATAGAGAAACCGGCACACAACTTTCTATTTATACCTTTTTCGTCCTTCCCCGCCTTTGCCAGAATGTGCAAGAAATGGTGATGTTGTCAACCAGTGTCTTGAACATCAAGTGGACAGTTAAAGGGAAGCCCAAGCCTGCATTAGCCGCTACTATAGGAGGCGATCTGACCATCAAAGTTGATTCCAAATTCACTCTTAACCAAATCAGTGGACAAGTGATTGGGTATGAAGAACTGTGGGACTTATCTGCTTCGTCTATCATTGCTCAAACGTGTTTTTTGATGTCGCGCCGACTATCCGCAAGCATTGAGGCTGGGAAGGACACGTTCGACTTCGTGAAGGATTTCACAAGAAGGTTTACAACAGAAAACGAAAGCATGGAAGTCGATCCTGAGAGCTCTGGTGATCCAACAAAGGTAGTGTTTGGCTGTTTGCCTTCTTTAACGCTCTCATCTTATAGCCTAAGTTGACAGTTTGATTCCACTTTAATTATTTAAAAGAAAAAAAATAAGGAAAAATTCGTGCAAATACTCCCAGAAATTGGAGATTTTTTCAAGAATATTCCAAGATTGCATATCGATCAAATATACACCTAAAAGTTGGGGGATCCGTGTAATCTATAGATTTTCTTGGTGTTATTGTAAACAACGTGTTGAGAGTTTCTTAGAAACAACCTCTTTACTTTCGAGTAGGGAAAAGGCCTGCCCACACACAACCTCCACATACCTTACTTTTTGTGAAAATTTACTGGGTTTGTTTTATTTTTGTAAAAATATTGATTTTCTTGGAGTGCCAATAAAATTATGTGATCTTGGAGTGTTGTAAAATATCAAATTTCTCAAAGTGCTTCCTCCTTATCCCAATGAAGTTTAAGAAAATTGTTGAAAGGTCAAAAAAAATATGTGGTTGGAATTTGTCAAGACGAGAGAAATGTCACGAGCCACGCATTCCTTTCTTGAAAAAGAAATGAAATGAGAGAAGTGCAAAATTTTATTGCGGGACAAAAAGAGTACAAACAAAAAATTGAGATTATTATAATTGTAAAATGGCCAAAACTTGGGGTTATTGGAATAATTTTTTTTTTGTAGTGTTATTGTATATTTGCAACATGTGATATTGTTTTTTGGCCGTGGCAGTTTTTCCTGTGGGACGATCAAGGAGGAGACTTGTATCAAATTGCACTATTTTTAGCACTTGTGTATTTTGTTGTACAGGTTCTAAGGACAACCCTATAAGTCTTTCTATTTCTACAAATGTCAATGCTTCTTTTCTTATAAGGACTTGTATCAATATTTTTTTTTCTTGTAAAATTTTAATACTTTTAAGAATATAGTATTTCAGAGTACTCTGTATATGTAAAATAAGAGGGTGTTTGGTAGTGTGGTAGATTGTTGAAAAAGCAGAAGTTTTAAGTAGAAGCGGAAAGTTGATATTTTTAACTTTGCTTAAAAACACTTCTGGAACTCATGTTAGACTACAAAAGTCATAATCTATAAGCGGGAGCAGATTGGCAAACACGACAAATATTATTTTAGTGAAGCAAAAACTCCTAAGTAGTTTTTAAATGCAACTCCAAATGCCTTCTAAATTAAAGATTATTTTGTCGCGTCCATAAAAGCAACGACGGATACTTTAAAGTATTATTATCGCCGAATGAAATTGATGTTTTATTATCACTGTATTTTCAATGAGAACTTTTTATGATAGTAATTTTTAAAAATTACTGGTAGTACTCTCTCCGTCTTAATTTAAATCATTTGTTTCTTTTTATGATGTTTGACTGAAGTGATTTTCAATACAATTTATTATTGGAGCGGAATTAAAAAAATAAAGTTTACATATTAAAAAAACTACATCAAAGAAACTTATCAAAACAAAGGGTGACATGTTTACATTATTTTATCTTATGAGTAATGAAAGTAAAGAAATAAAGTGAATAAAACTTGACAATGTGAATAGTAAACATGCAACTTAATTTGAGACGGGAGAGTAATTTCACAAAGGCAAACGGTGTGGCACAATATATGATACAACATATTTCCAATCCTACAACACCCCTCTCATGATATATATACAAACTCAATCATGTACATTACTTGTATTTCAATGTTGAAGACAGAACATGCATGCAGTTTAGACTGGGGGTTTAGAAAAAAAAATATATCTACACCTTCAATCAACTCACCAACTACATGGATTTCTCTTCTTTGCCCCTCCTCAGGCACTTCCAACTCTTGGCAAGGTCAATAGCGTGTCCACGCGGGACACCCCTCGAGTGCTAGGCCACTTTTCTCCGCCATTCTCGTGGTTGTGGACCCTGCTCGGCGCAAGGGGGACGGCCTTGTCGTTGGAGGAGGCAGAATATGCACCGTTTGTAGGTGAATCATCCAGGAAGAGGCAGACGACAGCACAATCATCGACCCTAGATGTAGGGTATTTGGTCCTCCATGACTGAACTGCTGCTTCAACCAGCACTCTGGCTGCAGATGAACGTGTCGGGGCTGAACCCACAATCTCCACCGCCTCTTCATTGGAAAGGACATCCCATATCTGTGATATATATATTTTTCCAATTCATAATGAGTAGTATGATATAGAAAATTGGTAGATGAAAATTGATCTGTAAAAAAAATGATTCGTACCCCATCTGTGGCCAAGATGATGAATTCGTCTTTCTGTGTTAAACGTCTGTGTGAAATTTTGGGTACAGAGGTGAGACCGAAATCCTTGAGACAAAAATCTCCAAAAGCCCGTGACATGGCAAGGCCTGGAGAATATGTATTGGGTAGCCATACTCGTGCAATACCAGGCTCATCACGTAGGGCAAATATACGTCCTTTACACTTTCGAATCCTTTCTGCTTCCGCTGTTAGAATTACGGATATAGATATATGTTCGGAGTTCAAAACCACGGTATTTGAGGGACAAATGGGCTGAACTGATCACTATATAACTTCAGAAAATAAACAAAATGGACCAATTTCACTTACTAATGACACAAATTCATGAAGTTTCAGAGAGAGGATCAAAATGAAGGCAGCAAGATGACAACATATAAATACCTGGAAGATTAGGCTTGAGATCCACAGTCAACTGCACAGCTGTAAGAAAGTTGTCTTTATCTCTTGTACCCAATATGGCTCTGGAGTCCCCAACATTCCCAATTACAAGATCTTGGCCCTGATACAAAACGAACCATAATGTAATCATTAGCTATATAAAATACTGCAATAAACTGATAACCATAATGTGCTTAACGAAAAACCCTTTGCAATACTCTGTAATACATAAAGAAATGTGAAGCATATCAAAGGGCAACCCGGAGCACGAAGCGTCCCCGCTTAGAAAGGGTCCCACCATAATGGCGTGAATGAGTGATGAATCTTATCAACCCTTATGAATTGCTGAGTTTTGCCTCGATACCTGTTTCACGAGAGCTACTGTGGTCGTCCCGCTGCAAAAGCAATCAATACTTGTAGTTCTCAGTTCCCTATCCATGGCCTTAAAAGCCGTCAGAAAGGATTTTTTCAGTGTCTGAATGGCATCCCCATTTTTATGAACTTGATCAACATCCATAGACGCCATTGACACTTCCTCAATGTCGGGATTTATGCTCCCTGTAGTATTTTGACTGATCTCCGCAAGGACATCATCATTTTTAGTGTTAGCTTCCCAGAGTGCACTTAATTTTAAGGGAAGAGAATCCCTCACTCTTTTCGCAACCATATGTCCATACGGACCGTGCCCATCAAAGACTCCACAAAAAACAGTATCAGCTCTTGATCCAAAGTTCTGAAATTTTGAAAATATAAAGAATCAATGAACTGCAAGCTTTTACTAGGCAATCCAGTCACAGCAGAGGAGCATAGGATGATCAACCCGAAATGAACATTCGACTAAATCATGGTTTATATGAGAAAAGAAACGAAGAAAACTACTATACCAAAACATAAATGCAGGAAATACAAAGTATATAATCCAAACAATGCACATATACTGATGCTCATGAAAACATTATAGATGTATAATGAGTTAAAGTAATGGTAAAGTGTAATTAGAGAAGATAAGAGGGGACCGGACCTCCCAAACGAGCATTGCGTCTTGATTAGCCCCTTTCTTTCCCTGCTGAGTAAAGAGAGAAGCCACCTCACTGGAGCCATTCAAGAACCTCCGCCCCCGAATCCTATGCAACTGTTCTTCCTTCCGATAGTCAAAGGAAGACGGGCAGCGCTCCTTGAAGCTCTTTCTCTTCCTCCCACCAAGGGAATTGGGAGAAGGCAGAGGGCTCCTGCTTTCGGAACAAGAGAAGCAGGACCCCATTTGAAGGGCCCTTGCTACATCCAACAAACACTCCACAACACCAACACAGCCGCCCCCTCCGTTTTCCCCCTGCGAATCCGTCGCACCCCTCCCGCAGCTATCTATGCCTAATTCTTCCCTCTCTTCAAACCCTACTTCACCCGACCCAAGACCCGGATTTCAACGGCAAACCATTGCCCGTCCCACGATTGATGATGATCGCTGTACGAATTCACAGTAAATCGAAGAGAAAACCCGGAAGCGAGAACCCGCAGATCCTTCGAAATTCAAATCAGCCCGGAATCCCCAAAACCCCAAATTTCATCGTCCCCACTCCCGATTCTGCTGGGACCAACTAAAAATTTCCAATCAATTCCCGCATGAGATATACAACTGCACAAGAAATCGGGAAAGAGAGCATGAAGATATCGGGAAGAGAACTATAATGCGAAATGAAAGTGCGCCGTAATATATGGAGTTTTCAATGAATACGTATGCTCTTACGCCAGAATTGCAGGGTAGGCCATAGGCGTGGGAAAGATTGTGCCGTACAATGCAATGAGAATATATAGAATAAGGGGAAGAAGATGAAGATGAAGAAGAAAGGCAGAAAGGAAGAAGGAAAGCTCCGTGGTACAGAGTATGACTTCTGCGCGCGGCTTTGTAGTTTGCGGCTACTTTGTACCTACCCCAATTTAATTTTTAACTCATTCTTTTACAAGGTGAATAAAATCATTTAAACACAAGTGATAAGTTTGTGTAATTTATATTCAAGTTACTTGTCACTCTAATATTATCTTTCTTTTACAATTGAAAATCGTTTGTCCCTCTCGTTTATTTTTATTAGAATTAGAGTAAATCAAATCGAATCACATCAAATTATATTATTCATTTATTTTTATTAGAATTAGAGTAAATCAAATCGGATCACATCAAATTATATGATATAAATCACCTATTTAGGACTAAAACATAGAGAAAAGTATCAAAATAGGACTTTCGTGATTTTTTCCTCGAAATAGAACTTTGCACTGTGGTAATGTGACAATGTACATGTGCAAATTACTATACTTTTTGGTAATGTACATGACCATGTTTGGTAATGTAAATCCTATTTCAAGAAAAATTGGAAAGTTCTATTTTGATATATTTTCAATATTTTAATCCTATTTTGATTTTTCTCCCATTATATTACTCCGTATATCTTAACAGAATCAAATGAGATCCTCATACCATACGAAAAGAACATGTTATTATTTGGTTCACAGTCAAGACAAATAATCATTGTCTGTGGTACTTTCTTTGTCCTCCAAGAATTTTTACTTTTTAAATGACTTGGAAAATTTCATGTTTTTTTTAAAATTATTTTATTAACAGATTGATATAGAAATAAAATGCTTAAGTTACATATAGAATGCCAAAAATAATACGAGTCTCTGATAGTAGTTTTTTATTTTATTATATGGAGTTATTAAGGTTCAAAAAATTATAAAAAGTATATGTTTCAAAAGAACATAAAAAGTTTGTAAAATACAATGTGCCAAAAAGTGTTTTATTTTTTCAAATAATTATTGAAAAGACATAAATAAAGTAAAGATATTGGAAGGCCAAAATAATACAGAATATAATAAATAAAGTCTTTTAGGAAGGAGGAAGTATATGTCTAAATTTTAGTGTTGACGTTTGCATGAATTCTGATTATAGATTTACCAAAAATAGTACAAATGGTATCAAATCAAAAGTGATTTACTATTTTCATACCACATACTCCGTAATTAATTAGTGCCCATTTGGCCGATAGTTTTAGCACTTAACTTTAAAAACATCTAATGATAATATTTAGTTTTAATGTTTCAAAGAAAATGTATATTTTTTTTCTAAATTAAACCAACATATAAAAATTCAATATCTTTCAAATTTGTTTTTATTTATCTTCATTCCTACCTTAATAACCCAAAGTTTTAGAAATACCTCATACAAAATTTTTCTAACTTTAAAAACATCTAAGGATAATATTTAGTTTTAATGTTTCAAAGAATTAAAATGTGATTCCCCAACCATACTTATATACGAAGTATTTACGACAATATCATAGCTCACATGTTTGATAAGAGGCTTTAGCCCACATGAAATATACTCATAATGAATCCCAATCGTGAAATTCGAAAGGATAAGAAAAGAAAAAAAATTTCATTTCCTCGTCAAAACAGGAAGAAAATCATTTTCTTTTTTGCTAGTGCGTTTTCTTCTCTCATTTTCTTTTCCTATTACATTTCTTTTCTGACCAAACAAGAAAAAGCATTTTCTTTTATTTCCTTCTCCAATTCCTTGAACCGAAAACATATACTCCGTAAAATATAGTGTATTTTTTTTTATCCCAATTAAACCAACATATAAAAATTCAATATCTTTCTCATTTCTTTTTATTTCTCTTCATTCCTACCTTAATAACCCAAAGTTATAGTATGGGCAAGATTGTATATATATCAACCGGTAGGTCCAAAGCCGAGGTCAGGGTTAGTTCCTTGTGGTGAAAATGCAGTCAATCAACTACTACAATAAGTTAAACTTCCAAATTTTTAACCCATTGAGTAGGAAATTTTCACTTGAAAAATCAAACTAAAATTATATGATAATTTATTGTCTCACTACTCTGTCGGGCCGGGTGTAGGGCCATCGGGTGGGCGTTCTACCCGTATATAGTGGAGCTTGAAGATATATATGGTCCTACGTGGAAATTAGTGTGCTTTCCAATAATTGGCGTTTAATTGTACATTTAATTACGCGTTCACGCCTAATCCCATGTTTTATTACGCAATTGTGTACGTTTTATTTATACGAAATACAATCCGCACGCCACACACATATACTTCTTCCGTCCTAATTCTTTCTTCCCAGTTTGACTTTTTCCCATTTTAAATTTTTGGCTTTGACTTCAAGTTTTACTCTCCTTAAAAAAGATTTTTTGAATTTTTTTTTCAATCATTCAAAATATAGAGTTAGAAGATAATTGGTGTAAATACATGAGGGTATTAATGTCATTTGTCATCTTTTTTTCTAATGGGAAGGTAGTTTTAGAACGGAGAAAAAGGGGAAGTGGAAAGAACGTTTTAGGACAGAGGGAGTATATCACTACCTCCGTCCCAAAAAGATTTACACGTTTTGACTAAAGTTGAAATTAAGGAAGGGATAATTTTGTGTTGACTTTCCAAAAATACTCTTAATGTGATGGGTAAAAGTAGGATGTGATGTGTAGATTATCAGAAAAAATGTATGATGTGATAGGTAGGGTTTGAAAAAGTAAGAGGTAAAAGTGGTTTTTTAATAGAAATGAGTAGGAGATTATGAGACATAATTTTTTTGAAAGGTGTAAATTTTTTTGGGACGGAGGGAGTATTCCTACTCCCTACTTTTTGTGAACATCCAAACAAGACAAAATTGTAGGTCACCCCTGGTCAAGGATATATCCACCCAAGGGAAGTGGGGCACTTAACCAAGTAATCCGTTGAGCGGCGTAGAATAACAGATAGATGATGGGCGAAGGCCGAAGGGGGTGTGGGGTGGGAGGGTACTTTGGGAAAGTCAATATAATTTTTGTCTTACATAAATATGTGTGCAGGTCAAATCGAGAAGATGAATAATGGACAGAGGGAGTATATTTTGAAATTTGATTGAAAAAATGTGGGTTCGGATATTTAAAATAAAGTTGTTTGGAAAAATTTAAAATCATTATTTGATTAAAGATGGATGGGGGTTTGCCGTTGGCAGTAAGAATGGTAACCGGTGGCGGAAAATGATCAACGATTGGAAGAAATACTCTGTATCAAACTTCTATGATGACATCTTCCAAATTCAAGAGATATCAAAATTCTTCATTTGGAGGATTTGTGATTTCTGGAGGTAACAATTCGATATTTCATTCGATCTTTTGACTCCACCCAACACATACAAAAAAGTTTTGATATATGAAGATATAAGAGAAGTGAAATTTGCAGTAAATAAGACTAAAATATAATGACTTTTCTAATGTAGGACTTAAACTTTTTTATTCCCTAAATAAGACTTAATAATGACCTAGTAGGTGGAATAATGTCCAGTAATGATGGACATTTACTTGAATAATGACTACTTCATAATGACCAAAGGTCGTACATTGAGAAATAAAAACATATGGTCCTATATTGGGAAAGTCATTATGTTTTAGTCTTATTTAGGTAAATTTCTCATAAGAGAATACATGTTCTTTTTGCTCCCCAAACACACCCTAAGGTCGTTGATAATTATGTGATTTTATATAGCATTACACTTTTCCTGATATTGAATTTTAATATGAAGGGATGACATCGGACACAGACGGTGTTTATATATAGCAGCACTACACTTTCTTGAATCATCAATTTTACAATAGGACCACTACCAAGGCTAATATCATAACATAAAATTACTTTATACTTGTAACATCAAAATAACCAAAGTGATTTGGTTTAGGTTTGAGTTGTCACCTTCAAAGTTCTAATTACTATAATAGTTTTCAAACTCTAGCTAACATTCTCTAGACTCTAACTATTGATCTCTTAATTTTAACTTCTTTTGAATTCTGCAATATATGAGGCAAGTACTCATTCACGAGTACTGAATATTCATTTTGAAACAACTGAATACTTTTCGAGTAAATAAATATTCATTTTTCTAAAACTCACTTATGCTAAATTATGAGTACTCGTGTTCAATTACTCGAGAATAAATCTTCATGAAAACATAGAAGAAACAATTTACATCCGAATGTATAGTATTTGTACTTTTCAAACTCTACTTAAAATTAAGGTGAAAATGGAATAATGATAATTCAAACTCAATTAATTACCGATATATAAACATCTCGATCACGTCGTTGAAATATTAATTGAACTCATCGAATTTCTGAATTATAAATCAATTGCTAACAACCACAATTAAACTGACTTAATTAACGAACTATATAACTATTACTCCCTCCGTCCGGAAATATTCTTCACATTTGACTTTTTACGGTCTCCAAGATTGCACTTTGACCACTAATATCTTTATTTATACATGGAAATATTTTATAAAAATTTGATATTTGAAATCTATATTTCAAAATAAATATATTCATATTAAAGTTATATCGTAATACAATGTATTTTTTCCATATATCATAGTCAAAGTTTACAAACTTTGACAAAAAAAAATCAAATGGGAAGAATATTTTCGGACGGAGGGAGTATCAAAGTGAAGTAATTAACGAATTATAAACATGTGGATCATCCACCATACTAGGTCGTTGAGATATTTAAAAAGTTTGGTGTACCCATGTACTTCACACCCAAAATTTGAAATGAAAATCACCAAATAAAAACTATGCAAATAAATTGAATAAATGGCCTACTTGCTGAGTCGATGTTGTAGTATTGTCACAGTAACAGATGTCAAGTAGTGTGCTATATCACCTTCTTCATCACAAGCAAACACATATAAGTAGATGATGCAAAGAGTATTACAGCGCCTACTTGGCAAAATGTTGTAACTATAAAACGTAAAAAAGAACACCAGATATGGTTACGTAGTTCAAAGAAACTTTCCTATTCTACGGGACCAACGTCTGTGTAATAGTCTTCCACTAAACAACTAGATGCAAGTTACATCGGTACGACGTCTGTGTAATAGCCCTGCACTAAATCACTAAATAAATTAATTTCATCTAGAAAATAAAGGTTTTACCT